ACACACACACACTCAGACAGAGACTATTTTCATCCTGGCATAGGAACAGAACAACTATAATGAAAAATAACATTAAAAGGTTATGAAGGATAGGCCTGTAGGAACAGAAATATGATTATACTACCCTTCGTCATCAGATATCCTACCAAAGAGTGGCTTCCCCTGGGCCTGTTTGAGCTGAGTGCGGAACGTTCGGTGCAGTCGTTTGCGACAGAGGTCCTCGAGGATTTCGTCAAGTTTGTGCGGGTGGAAATGCTGGAGCATCATGGGAACGAACACTACTGTCCCATCACCACCTTCAGGTTAGACTCTGCGCATGTGTGTGTGCGTGCGTGTGTGTGTGTGTGTGTGTGCGCGCGCCAGTAAATGTATGTGTGTGTTTGTATGTGTGTGTGCAGGTATGTTCATGTTTGGTGGAACACTCTGGTGTATACGTGTGTTTATTCTCATGTGTGCATAGATGCATATTTTTAATCTTTTCCTGTGCATGCACATTCTCTCACTCACTGTTTCTCTCTCTCTCTCCCTCTCTGTCTCTCTCTCTCTCTCTCTCTCTCTCTCTCTCTCTCCCTCCCCCCCTCTCTCTCTGCGTCTCTCTCTCTCCCCCCCCCTCTCTCCATTCTCTCTCTCTCTTGCACACACACTTGCACACACCTCACACACAAACAAGCACACATACAACACTCTCACACACTAACGCATAACTTCTTGCCCATATTCTTGTGTGCGTACATACCCACTCACACATGAAATCGGGCTCAGATTAGGGAGTTATTAAGTCCAAAGGGAAAAAGTAGTTCAGGCGTCACAATGTTTATTAAACATTAGCGGTAATCAATAATAATAACAGCAACAATAATAATAATAATATGTGTTACGACGTGGTTGAATCAGGCGCTCGTCAATTTTTGGGCATTTGGAGTTATTGGTACCATCTGAAAGCTGATTTATTTGCCTTGCTTTCAATGAAATAGATATCGGACATCTATCATGAATAGAACTTGAGATGTTTGTGATTGAAGGGAGTGAGTTCGCCTAGTTTCAGTTGTGAAATTAGCGAGAAAATGGCCTTAAAGGTTTGGTAACTCCCATAGCTAAAGAGTCCTTGAAAACAGAAAAATGGCATATTTTGTGCCTTTAATCAATGTTTTTTCAGTAAAATTCACATGGAAATGTATTTTTATAAGGACATAAATGAGGTTGAGCCAAAAATACAAATTTGATACAAATTTCCAAACTGGCAGGAAAATGCCAGAATCTCCAATATCTGTATTTTGACGAGCGCCTGATTTCACCACACTGCCTCTCATATAATGATGTGTATATTGCACTCAACCCATATTAAAGAACTCAAGCTTTGAGTTCCTTACAAATCCAGGCTGCAGCAAAAATGACCTCTCTCTCTGATTATCTTTCTTTCTTTCTGCTCCATCTCTGTCTCTTTCTCTTTTTCTGTCAGTTGTCTATATATATATATATATATCTCTCTCTCTCTCTCTGCCCCCCCCCCTCCCTCTTTGTTTCTTTTTGTGTCCGATTCTTATCCTATTTTTTCACACCATCTCTGTCACTCATTTACATTCTCCCGCTCCTTCCCCTCTCCACAGGGTTCTGGGCTTGGATTTAGCCTCTGACGATGACGACGATGTTTATCACGAGCACTCTGATTCTGAAGGTGAGTGTATTATCGTTAAAGTTTTTGCTTCTTTGGGATGGCTTCTTGATCACTCATGCTATTTTTAAGTGAGACTTTCTTTGTATGGCTGTGATGGTATTGCCAATATTACTTTTGTAATACATCAATGCTATTTTGAGTTAGATTTTCTTCATAATATTGCTAATACTATTGCTATTATTATTATTATTATTATTATTATTATTATTATTATTGGTCGATTCATTATTATTATTATTATTATCATCATCATCATCATCATCATTGTTGCACATGGTGATAGTTTCAACATGATTATCATTGTCATCATCACATTTGTCTTCATTTTCATTTTTAATGTCATCATCGTCTAGAGAGAGGGAGATGGAGAGAAAAAGAGCATGAGTGAGACCTAGATAATGAGATAAGACAGGCAGAGATATTGAGAGAGTGAGAGTTAGAGAGATGGAGAGAAGAAGATCTAAAACAAAACTTGATTGCATCGTGTCATAATGGACGATAATTGTAATCGTTGTCTTGTTGTTGTTGTTGTTGTTGTTGTTATCGATCCAGCAACATCTGGGCTCTCGCCCTTCTGTCCAATGCCATGTAGTGATAAGTGCAGGATTGCTGCAGTTGCTGTAATGTTCCGTAGAGTGTGTTGTCGAAGTTAGGTCTCGGAGGGAGAAGGGTAGCTCTGATGTCATTTAGGGCTGTACAGTGGAAAATGTGATGTTCCACTGTCTCATATGCATAGTCACACAAAGGACACATTGGGGGAAGTTCTGGATCGTTATCTTAATCCCACCAATCCTCCCACACTCAGGTCCCAGTGATGAGGCTCCAGTGGAGGATGAGATAGAGGAGTCTGTGAATCTGTTCACCAGTGCCAAAGGTCAGTCTCATTAACCCTATCCGTACGTTGTGTTTTACTATCGTATCCATACGACGTAGGGAACTCTGTGCCCTCCACTTTCCAAAGAGAAAATTTACTTGTTAATCCGATCCGTATGCTTTGCTTAGCAGTCTGTCAAAATTATTTTTTGAGAAATACTGAAAGTTTCGAAGACATCTTCGCTCTAGAAGTATTCTAAAATGTGAAGAATACAACCCTGGGGGTACAAAATGACCCCAGGCGTACGGATAGGGTTAATGTTATAGTGACTGTTACATTCATGCCTTGCCTGTGATATGATTGA